GCTAAGCAGAAAAGATGACTTTGAAAAACATCCGTGCAGCCATAAGTGAACTTCAGTAACTGAGGTGCATGAAGCAACTGCTGAAACAACCAAAGGCACTACCATATTCCAAGTCCTGGGAAAGCTGTGACAATCATGCAGCTGTACACATACCAACTCAGCAAACTCATCTAAGATGTTGACTCTTCAACCATTCATATATTTATCACTGTGGCAAAATAACTGTGTTCTTCATAAACTTAAATCCTGACAATCCTATTCTTGGTTTGTCACAGTCAAGGCAAAGATGACATTTTCCTGCCATAAGAGCAAGACCAGAGTTGGGCAGCACCTGTTTCTAAGCAGGAACTCTCTAAGCTCATGACAGAAGCCCTCTACTGGAACCACTGGTAGTAAAGTCATACATATTTGAACTTCATTCCTTTCCCAGGAAATTCTGTCCTGTATATTTAACCTTTTCCTGCATGTCATTAATTTCACCTCTGTTCCTTTATGATTCTGTAGTCAAAAGTAAAGATGCAAGAAAATACACCTAACTCCCCAATAACATTACTCTTAATAAAACACAGGCTTTCAGAATTACTTTTTCAATTACAGCATGTATTTTATTTGAATGTTTACACTGAACTAGTTTCGTTTATAGTAGAAATCTGAAACAACATTTAAGAATTTTAGATGAAGTTTATGAGAGCCCTCTTTGGGGTTTTTAATTCTATGGTAGTTCCCAAATTCTTAAAAGCTGCAAAGTGAAAGATGAGATCAAGCCACATTTTCCTGGTTTTCCACAACAGTATCTCCCCCATCTGTAAATGCATGAAGAGCACTTATCTACTTTTACTTTTCTGTATTAGTAATTGCACACATCTGTGAGCTCAGAAAGAGTAACTATCTATTAAGTTCTCATGTACTCTCTGTCACTTAATTATTGCATAATTACACAAAAGAGAAGCTATGAAATTAATCCAGAACAATTTTTTTGCCCCCCTTAGAAAGAGACATAAACCATTTTTAAAGGCACAACAGGTTAAGAATACATATATTATATATACTAACAAGACACATATGAAGAGGTATGTAACAACTTGTTAAATCATAGAAAGAATTAGTTTTTGCTGTGCATCTGACATCTTTCCCTTACTTAAAACCATTTCCATCAAGTTTAGTGTTAGGAGCCCCAAATAAAGTTTCATACAGCTCATTTCTTCTGCATCATCAGGAAAACATAAAGCCTTTTACAACAAAAGAAAACCTAGAGTACAGAAAAAGAAACAAAGTACTAAAAGGAATGGATTAGAATAACCAGAGCAGGCCAGTGACAAGTGTCAAATATGAATCATTTGGCCCAATCCTACAGTCAGTATGTCACCTCACACCCTCACATCACTTCTAAAGCTTGACAGAAGCTTACACAATTTCCAACATAATTGTAGCATAAGGTTACAGTTAAGACACCATGTCCTCAGTGTCAAAGCAGTATAAGATTAGGACCTCAAGTAAGACCTCTAGTAAAATTGTTTTCCCACATTCTTTAAAGATGCACCATTTAGCTTCCTTCACAATGGACACTTTAAATATACAAGACAGTTAAAAAAAAAATAAATTTTAAAGCAACCATATAAAGAAGATTGTACAATACCCGTTTTCTCACACAAAACCTCAAGAACATACAATAATTAATCCTTTACCTTCCCCCATATATCTAGATGAACACTTTCAAACCTGTGAGTATTTTTGTGATTACCACAGCAATAAAGCAGAAATGCAAGCGCAGCATCAAGGTTCTGGACTCTGAGTTTTAAAATGTTGTTATGCTCAATATGTATCAGCTTTTATCCAACTAGGCTTAAAGGCACAACAACATATCGTCAGTAACTACCAACACTCAAATTACCCTATTTCTGATATTTATATTACATGCCATGATGTCCAGTAAAGTAAATGTGCCTAAACTAACCAATTCTATTTTTACAATATAGCTATGAACTAATACTTACAAATGGATAAAATATGATAAATTATATTTCTTTTTAAATCTTTGTAACAAATTGTCCCAATGTCAAGAGTAAAAAATGCATGCCCAGGAACATAATGCAACTGAAAACAAGAGTATGTTTTCTCCACAAATATGTGCTTTCTACATCCCTGCCCCACCCCGAGGGGACTGGCTAATTCAGTACTTAAAAACTATGAAACTCAAATTATTTCTCTTTATGTTTAATACAACTTGGGGAGTTAAGAGTACTCTTCAGTCATAAACATCAAGACATTTGTGTTTAATTTACTGTCTTGTAAACATGCTTAGGACTAAAACCAAACAGAAATTAAACATTTTGGTTTTAACCTTGAAGGGTGCTGTAAGCAGGAAAGTGTCTAGAATAATCATGCAGAAAGTATACCAATTTATTCTCCTCAGTGAGCTGTCATTTTAGAAGCAGTAAGAAGTATCCAAGACTTCAATTTATTTTCTATTTACTTTCCTAATAAACACTTTTTCATGACTTGCTACTTTTTCCCCAAATAAAGTCAAAAAAGTGTATCTTGCTCAGAACATGCAGACTAAACACAAGACAGAAAACAAGCTTATCAATGAAAAACTCTCCTAAACAAGTTAGATAATACTAAACAAAATCTCTGGTAACTCACATCTACAGACAGTTGCATTCATCAGTGTGAATAATATATGAAACTACACAAGTGTAATGCAAAAGAATGATGCCAAACATGCATTAAGTGTTTTTACAACAACTACACATGTCAATAATAAACTGACACATCTCCCAAAATAATTTAGAAATACAGCCATCCCTGCTACCAAGTTGATAATTTTCACTTTTAAACCAGCAATTCAATAGATGACAATTCTTTCATACATTTTCTTTCAAAACTCTGAACATTCAGTTTTTTAATTGGAGTAATTGCACTCTTCACACACTAAGACAAAAACTTTATTTGTATGATTTGGCACAGCTCTAGTTCTGAAAATGTCAGATATGGAACTGCTACTGGTACAATGCTGGAAGTTCTAGAAACACAATGTTCCACACTCAAACAAAACTGAAGATGAACTACTGTTTCATTATTACAGGTGTGTCTTCTGGGAAAAGCTTTTTATTTGAAGTTGATTAAAACTGGAGCTGTGGCTTACCTTTCACATGCTCTCTCCCTTAAAAGCGGAACATAATATATGAAACAACACAGTCCTATCATGTCAAAGAATGAAGAATGTTAGCATTTTAAAAGACAGTATTTCCCATCTTTGTAATGGCAGTTTATATATTTTCTTCCAAGAAAAAGTACATAGTGAATAGTCTTGCTTCTTTTTAAAGCAACTGTGCACATCATCTCTCCTGGAGAAATCACGAAGAACACTATTTTCCATTTTTTTACTGGCTTGCATGTAACCTTCTTGGCAACTGCAGAAAGTGAACAGACAGATCAAGCTCACATAAAATTTGGCTCAACATTTTACTGTACATTTTTTTCTCCATTGCTTGAAATACTCGCCCTCCTGGATGCACTATCACCAAGAATGTAAACCATAACCATATTATTCAGACATCTAAAGCCCTCAACATGCTTCTTACCCATTTGTTCTAGGCTATGTATTTCTTCCAAACTCACTTTATGAGAACATTTATTAAACTAGATTCTCTACAGCACAAATTACACTAAGTATGCACAAGTATGAAGAGTCTTGCTCTACTGCCTTCCTTGCTCTTCTTTCCTTCCACACTGAAATGAGCAGAATCAGTAATTCTCACTGGATCTCCTTTACCTGCTTTTACCTGCGTCTCCTGCTCGCTGCCTGGTGACACAGAAGCAGGACCAAGCAGCAAGGAGGACAAAAGGCTATTTGTATCTGCAGCAAGGCATGTACTGGATTATTTTAAGTATGCATACAAACATTTTAAATTCCTATTAGCATACAGATATTTAAAATATTTGTAAGTAGCCTGGAAGATCAATTCAGCAGGCAGTTCAGTACTGCAATAGCTGGTATGCACAGTGTTTTTTCGGGCAATTTTACACTATATAAAAATATTTAAAACTTAGAAACAATAAATTTAGTAGAATAAATCCTCTTATAACAAAAAATGAACATTAATGGAATTTTTTTTTAAAAAGCAACACTTTAAAATGACCAGAACATCAATAGCTAACAGATGGAAAAAGAACTACAATAAACCCTTGTGTTTTTTACATCTTTTTAGATTTATTTTCTCTTCCACCTTGCTTGTGTGGTTATTTAAAGCGGGAAAACATGTTTTGCTTAGGGTTGGGTTGTACACCGAGATATTTAGGGTTTGGGGATTTCTTTGGGAGATCTGTTTTGTTTTGTATTGTTGGGGATTTTTTTTCTTTCAAGAACTAACTGATAATAAAATCCATTTCCCTGTCACACACACAAAAAATTATCACAGTGAATTAAGGCAAAAAATTAATGAAAATACCTTAATCCCATCTCATCACTGCTATTATGTACTATTTAATTTTCCTTTACCATTGTCTTCTGTTTGGTGCTTCTCTGTCTGATGCACTCAGGTTTAAGACTGGATTCTCACTGGTTGACGAGAGGCTAACAGCCTTAAAATCAGCTGTTACATACTTACATGGTGTGTGTACCTTGCATAAAGTTGCTGTATTCAGCCACAAAGTCAAATCCTACACAACAACTTCATAAAAACAACACAGAAGAGATATATCCAATTGCAGTGATCCCACCCTTCAACCCAAGAATATCAAAATTTTTTTTGAACATTCATTCATTTCTGTTTTTCTGCTATTCCTTGGCCATGTCCACAAAACTAAATTCAGTTCAAAAAACTCAACACATGAATGTAACTGGTATTTCTACCTCTTATATTAAAAATTAGCTGGTTTGTGGTTTCCATGTAGAACAAGACTTAAAGTTATTTTTGTGAATCTGCTGTAGATATAAAATTAAACCACACTTTTCTCACTTTTATTAAGTTACTTTATTCCCTCTCTCCCATTTTTTTTGTTCAGTTTACACATAGGACCCTCCACACTTATTCCTGTTCAAGGATCTATGCAGTTTTCACTTAAAGTCAAGAACAGTATCTTTATTCTCACTGCAATTCTTTCAAGTCAAGCACTTAACGTCCCGCATACAATTAGCATGTAAATTCAATCAAATTATACAGCTATGCTTTACTCTACAGAAATAGAGATATAAAAGCACACTAGTAAATCTAGGAACAATGGAAGCTCTAGACAAATCATTTACCCAAACAGATGGAAAAACCTTATCCATAAGTGTATGTAGCAGCACAGTCCAGTTCCTTTTGAATCTCATACCTCTTATTATGAGAATTTTATTCTCCACTCAAAGGACCACATACAAATCACTTGAGTTTTTACACACATTCACAAATTTGCTTTCTTTCTTTCACTGTGATTTGTGTATATATAATAATCATTACTTTAGAGCAGAGGGGTTTTTAAATAAGTTTTACCTGTAAGTATGCTGTTTATCTCTGAATGGTTTTCTGAGTAGCTCCTTCAATTAGGAAAAAAGGGCTGCTGTTCCTAACAGAAGAAACCTTTCACACTGCTTTTAAAAGTCAGGCTGAGGTCATTAATAAGGATGCCTCGAAATTTAAATTATATTAACTTTCAGAGTATCTTAAGGAAGTTCAAGATGGAAAAGACCTATTAAATCTATCCCACTGAAAATGAACACATTGAGAGTTTGTTTCCATGCATAAAAATTACAGTTTACGTGAGAATTTCACATTCAGTTTATTTATTCTACAAGTAACATTTTAGACAATTTTATAACTAGCTTCAGTATTTAATGGATTATTGTGAAAACACACCCGAAATGCCTACAGCTGTGATTTTTAAAATATTTTATGGAAAACACCCAAAACTGTTGGAAATATGGAAAACCAATACTTTAACAAAACACACCAAACGTGTGAGATTGCTAAAACTACTTTACAGTATAACTGCAAATGTAACAAAAGGTAACATAAAAACAATCCAATGGGAAAAATTATACCTAACGATTAGGTATTCCAAGTTTTTAGTCAATCCTCTTACTGTTACCAAGTTCTTACATTTCTGCAAGTGAAGTTTGAAGAAAGCAAATGCTTTCAGGTTACTACAGTTCAACATTTGCCACCAAACTAGCACTGAATGGCCAATAATCTAAAGTAGTAACATCCTCTGCATTTCCCATAGACCACACTCACTCCCTCCTTACCACTCATGAATCAGGAAAGTTTGGACTGATATTCCCTCATGCTAGAAGTGAGCTAACAGCCCAAGGAAAGCACCGAACTCCAAGATGAGCATCTTAGTAACAGCACAGTGCCCATATTAATAATTTGAGGGCTCCTGAGAAGACAATTAAATTGCACCAGAAGTGTGTGCTCTCTGAAGTCCCCCACTCTTGGCCACAAGCACAAGCTAACAAAAGATGCTGCATGCAGACTCTAAAACTACCCACAGATATGCAACACTTCAAGTCTCAGGAATGGGATTTAGAACCCCTTCACATTTTCAGTCCAACATAAACTGACTCTGTTTGCTACCCTGCCTTCCATACTATTTTAGTGGCTCAATTATGCTTTAGTTTGACTTCTAAAGGGAAAAATAATGATCCAACTTCTTAAAAAAAAATAGATAGATTGGGAAGTATGCAAAAAAATTTGTTTCTGCAACATGCTTAAAGCAAAATGAACTTCATGGCACCAGAGCACACCAGTTAATTGCTGAACATCTCACCTCCAAGTATGTTTTCTCTCTTCAAAAGGCCTACAGGGTTTTGGTTTTCACTTGAAAATCTGCCTTTAGATTGGTTATTTCAGCATTTTTGAGCAAAGTTATCTCAAGGTAGATCGCAACTGTTTTGTAACACATAGTTCATGTCACTGTGCTTGTGTTTTATATCTTTCAAAGAATTCGTAATTACAAATTATTCTAGATCTGAAATCAAGAGTGAAAAAGAGGGAAATTGATATAACATTTTAAAATGTGGCAGCATACTTTAGATGAGAATGCTCCTCAAAGCATGCATACTATAAAATCCTACTGGAGTATGCTTAAAATTAAATTAATGCAGTATTTAGTTCATACTGTGTTCTTGCCATCCATATCTATTTTAAATTTTGTTCTAGTAAGAATCTTCAATTTATTATATCTTTATGTGCAACTGCATAAAACAAACGTTGACAACAAATAAAACAACTGCATGTCAGGAATTTTCTTTCCAGGTAATCCACAGCAGTTTGTGATTTTTTTAGGAAATAAATACAGTAAAATATATTAGGATCACCACAAAGTTTCCCAAAATATCAATGTGCTTTATCTAATGAGCACATTGGTCAGAACAGCATATAACTTAAATGGAACAGTAAAGCTTTGTTATCTTTAAATACCAAAATTTTATCTCACAGGAAAATTAGGCAGTTTAGGAATATGAAACTGCAGGAATAATGTAAAAGCTCAGCAAGTACATTACAAAAGTAACTGCACTGTAGGTGGCAGATTCACATATATTCCAAGCCTATTTGTTTTAGCATACCATATAGCAGAGAGTCAGGACTTCACTGCTTTCCAGTCAAACAGTGCAAATGTAGTTAAAATCTTGAGTACATATGTACACAGAAAAAATGATAAGCTGATCAATCAGATGAGGAACAAGAAAAATTAATCACTTTAGCAGAAGGGCAGAACCTTAATGTAAAAACTGGTTGGCCACATCTACACATTTTTTAGGAAATAATTTGGGACCATTTCTTTTTTAACAAAATTAGGTGTGTTTATTGTATAGCTACTACCACATTTAGCAAAATGAGAAGCATTGCCTTTAGAGTTGAGCCAGGCAGCCCAAAGAAAACTTTCAAGAGCTGAACTTAGCAGTCCATAATCAGCTACAAAAGGCACTCTTCATTAACTATTTACAATCTGCCCAAAAATACATTTCAGTATTTATTTGTTACGGCTTGGAAATTTAAAAATAGATTAAATTATTTTCTGCAGTAAGGATAGCTGACAAACCCACTGCTACCATGCAGCAGAGCCATCCAAGTCAGAGGTTTACAGGAAGGGCAGGTCACAACTGTGAAATGACAATCACTAATGTTAAATAAAAACTACAAGAACTTTCAAATAAATGCATACCTCCACTTGCTACCAAAACAACAGTGCACAAACATGTACTTAAAATAGCACGAAGCTGGCATGGAAAGTATGAACCGCTTTTGCTGATTCAATATATTAAATGTTCTTCTGAAACTTACTCAGATATGAGTATGAGTACAAGGAGGAGGGTTTATATAGCTAAACAAATATACTTGAGCTAGCTAAAAGGCCTGAGCAACACAGTCTTTTCTTCTGAAAAAAAATGAACCAACCTTTTGAATCTAGTTTAATTTGTATTTAAAACATGTTCCCTGTACAGCTTTACAATTGAGAACTACCAAATCACACCAATACTTTCTCAATCCCCTAAAAAAGTCAAGTACAAGGGCAGAAAAGATGAGAAAATAGTAATCTCATACTTAAGACACCTTACTAGATACCAACGTAAACTGTACTTTGAACTGAATAAAGGACACTAGAGCAGAGAGCTTAAGTAGTTGCCATATACAAACACTAGTTTATAGCAGTGAAAAAAGTAATTTTCCCAAATCTTAACATTTAGGACCAGTGTGTCAAGTAAAATCACTTGCAGTTTGGTTGAGGTTTATTTTAAGAATGTGGCATGTATCAAGTCAAGCAAAACATGGCAACATTAAAGACAACATAAAGGAAAATGCTTAGCAGGTACAGATGTCACAAGTGAGGGCTACACACTTAGTTACACTAAGGTAACTCCTGAATTGTATGAAAACAGTATCTTAAGCCATAAAACACTGGCAATTTAACTAACAGTGTATTTCCGGTATGCCAGCAATGATGCAATTTTCTTCTTAACCATATGTTCAAAATTCAATCCACCAAGCCAATCACTGCTACATTAACAAGTAACACACACAAGCCCTCTCTGCTGCTTGCATCCCATGCTGAGCCATGTATATACCATTTGGATGTTATTAGGGTACCAGGTTATTTCAAGTCAGTTTTTAACCAATTTAGTATCACAATTCATGCAGATGAAATTTAGTAATGTCTACCTCTGAAAATGTGAGTGAACTGATAAAAAAGAACACTACTATTTTACAACTATTTTATACAGGAAAAAAGAGTAATAGTAACCAACCAATATCCCTACTTATTTGCCATTACAGGAATAGAACCAATAGGTCTTTTCCATCATCTTCCAAGACTGACAAAAAAGAATCATAATAAGCTTCCTCGTAGGTTTACTATCACTTTTATCTTAAAACTCAATAGGCAAATATACCCTGAGTTGTGCTGTAAATAGGCCTCTTCCAAATTTCTTGTTCTGTAAAACCTTTCTGAAAAATACTCAAGCACAATCCTTCTAAATGCATAATACTCAACTATAAGTGAACTTACTTTTGCTGGAAATCATGTATTTGCTTCCTAATTATACAGTTACACACTGATAACAGATGTGGCTTTTTTCAAACCAACCACTGGGGAAAATGTATACTTATTAATAATGATGCGCAACACACAGTGGAAAGCTTTCAACCAGCGTGCAGAAATGTCTCCTTCCTTGCAATGGAAGATACTTTAACCATCAGCAGAACACATAGATGTCACAAGCAATTTTCTCCTCTATAAATATGGTTTAGGTAAATTCACTCATACTGTTATGAATAAAGCATACATAGAGATTCCTTTCCAAAGTTGGTTATTTCCCTCCCTAAGTTAAATTTTCTAATAATTTGTATAACAGATAACCTCTGTCGATAACTTCTTACTGTGACTAAGTTTGCAGTGGTGGATTGAGATGCAAGGACACAGTATCTTTGATAACACTTTGTATAAAATTTTATGCTCTTCAAAAGTCAAAACAAAAGCAGTTATAAGTTTTTCATAGTATGTACTGCACCATGCAGTTTAGCTAAATGTTCACTATTAAGAATGGAACTTTCTTGACACATAGTAGAAACTATGTAAAAATGAAAATGATGCCTCTTAAAATTAAGCATAAAATTATTCTTACTCAGTATTAGTAATAACATTCCCAGAATCCTTTCCAGTGATTTTTGTTTTATTGTAATCAGATAACTGCATGTTTTACAGCATAGTCACACATTGTATTTTGCTAGTCACAAACACATTGCCTTACATAATGATCCGCATCATTTCTGCTCTATACTACAAAGCCTATGACCGAATACAAAAAAAGTTTTACAAAAGAAACTGTTTTAAAGACTACAATAACAATAGAACCGTTTCCAGATAACAGCTAAAATTATAAAGGCATATCACTGTATAATTTTACTGGAATTTCTAAAACAGTAAGGAATGAATTAAGGTTTAGTATCTGCGACGCTTGTTAGGTCCTTCAAAGTTGCCCCCTGGGTTTCCTCTACCAAAGCCACCAGGTCCACCACTCACGGCACCTACACCACTCATTGGCGGCTGAGGAGTTTCAGAGCCCGTTCTACTAACCAGAGGTGAACCCATCTGGGATGGGCCTCCTTGAGCGAATCTCTCATTATGCTAACACAAGTCCATTTGGAACATGCCAAATGTGAGTTACAACAAAAACCACAAGTGATGTTGTCATGGAGTTCAGCAGATAGTCCAGCAGAATCAGGATCACACATAGAAGGAAGAAAGGAGCAATTCAATTAGTTATTATGGAAAAAGAGCTGGAAATTAAAGAGTGTTATGCTCCAACTTTGTAAAGTAAATTAAAAATTAAAAACAATACTTAAGACTGACTCTGGTGCTGAATGTAACTTCATCCTTACACACAAATCTGAACCAATACATATTCTCTATTTAACAAAGGAGACAGCAAACACTTTTATATCTGAGCCCTACTGCACCTTACATACCAACTACAAAGCTCCTCCCCTAAATAAATTAGAGACACATTGTCAAACTAGGAGGGGAGGAAATCACCTTTTGTATTTCTAGCTACTGCATATTTATTCTTTTAATAGCCTTAAGACTTCTATACCCACATATCTTTGGATATTTCAAGTCCACGCTACCTGGAGTTAGCCTTTTGTTTGGTACTTAAGAGATCTTTAGTTAAGGCTTTTAAAATTCTGAAATTCTGTCAGAACAAAACTACATTAGTGACAAAATGCAAAATTTTGGACTATTCCTAGTTTATAAAAATTCTGTACTTAACTAAAGCTCATTCTAAAATATCAGTGTGAGATAAAAATCCAATTAATATTCCATATTTCCTTAGCTTTATGCTTAATATTAGCATATTAATATAAAGGTATATACCCTTACACAGATTTATTTGCTTAATTTCTAAAAGTATCCATTTGAGCACTTACAGTTCAGTATTTATGCAAATTTTAAAAAATAGAACCTGACATGGTGAAATTTAAACTCAACATAAACCATTAACAGCATAGATACATGGTACAATAAGATGTGTAAGTAACTCCTCATTCAACAGTTAAGGACAGTTATGCCTTCAGAAGAAATTCCTTCTGTACAGAGATCTATATCACTCTCAGGTATTCAGAGTTCAGTAAGGACATTTAAGACCAGCACTTTATTTGTATGCCTGAATCAGAAAAGAATTCTTCTGAAAGCCTAACTCCAGTAACAGTAGTAGAGCTCAGCAGCTCTGGAGACTGCTAATTCATATATATATATGTATGTATACATAACTGAAACCCCAGCATTTTTTCTATATAGATAAAAGTACATGCAACCTAGACTATGGCTGTATATATGTGCATTGTTTCAAGGGTAACATTGTACATGGGAAAGGTTACTTCAAGAGCTGCATAAAGATCTACTACTGAGCTAAAGGACATTTAAATCTGTAGCACTGGATAAAAACTGTTTTAAAATTATCTTAATGCATGTCAGCTTGTTAGCAATGGATATGAATTTCAACAACTTATTACATACTCCTGGTCCCTTTAACCATTTGACTTTTGGACAAAAAGTCAAGTTCTCTTTCCAATAAGGGCCCCTCTTTCCAGCTAAGAAGAAAAATGCTGTAATTAACTACCTACATTAGAAAGTGGGAGAAGCTACTTTTAAAAAATAGTTATGTTCAAAGAAAATCCAGGTTTCAAAAAATTCAGTGAAACAAAAAGGAGATTGCTACAACTTTCCCTTCAAAACTTCAGACAAACATCCAATTAAAAACATTAAATTTGTATTTCTGCTCTATAAAGCATATTCTTCATTTCCCTCAGTGGAAAATAACTGTTACAGTGTTTCAGTAGATAGTCCTTAAAGGATCTTTAAAGTGTTTTTCTAACAACAGCAATAATACAATAAGGCTATATAAGCCTGACCCCCCCCCAAGCTAAAAACCTTCAAAGACCAAAACGAAGAAAAAACTAAAATCTAACTTGTCCTTCAGAAGCATGCATAAGAAAATGGAAGGAAAAAGAATATTTTTTAAACATGCACTTTGAAGTGTCAGTATATTTTCTACATTTCCATACCTGGAATGACTTTTTGTAGAAAAACAACAGTTTAAGTTAGATACCGTGATTTATGATATAATGTTATTTTCCATATACTTCTTTTTATAATAACAAGAGAAGGTTCTCAAGGTGACCAGTAAAATAGGGGTCTCCAGCAAAAGCATTTAGAAATCTAGTATTTTGTGAATAGCATCCTCCCCACTTTGTAAGAAATAACACAAATGATAAAGTGAGCTGGCTCCTATGATGTGAAGTAAGATCCTCTCCTTTTTATCTAGTAAAGATCAGACCCACAATGTATTTTGTGCAAAATCAAAATCTCATTTTCTTCTATGGGACAAAGGATTTTATTCTAACTTCATTATAAAGATTGCTGAATCACAGACATACTGTTGAGAAGGTATATCTAAAAAAAATCACAGCTACAAAATGCTTCTGTGTTCCAATAAAACTGTAAAAGAATAACTGTTAATAGTATGTATTCCTTTATTGCACACCACTAGTAACAGAACAGTACTGAAAAAATACGCGAAAGTCAGATTTCAAATTATACAGTTGTTTCTCTACATAAGACATTACAGCTAGGAAAAGTGACTGGCTGTAAAAACAAAGTAAGAATGGCCTATCTGCTTTAACTGCATCCCAATGGCCTATCTGCTCTTGATTAAAAATCCCAGACATGTAAAAAACATTCCCTATTATCTGTGGCAATTGGGCAATATTATTTTTCCTGTATTGATACAACAGTTATCAATAGCTCTTGGCTACTGATTTTCCAAGTGGCGTAATTACTGTCAATCTCATGCGTTTAACAGTATTAGAAAAGAAATACAAAGCATACTAAAGTTGCTTTAAAAAATTAAATAGTTTACACAAAGATATCTTCACACTTTGCACCTTCCAACATTTAACTGTTCATCAAAAAACCCAACAAGCTAATTCACAGAATTTAGTTGTACTAAAGAAAAGAACAGTAAACATCTAAATTTACAGATTTCCTTTCCTATGGGAAGCAGGAATTTCACAGCAATATTAAAAAAAAATTCTCTTATGGTTTGTAAATTATTTGCATGAAAAGGTTTTATCAATCACTTTTAACAGATCCAAAACATGTAGCACATTCTTACTCAGCGTGAAAATACCTTTGGTAAGAAAAATGGGCCATGAGACATGACAGCTATTCAAAGGAATTAAATTTGTGATACATTACCACTGTTCCATTATCTGGCATCATTGGTGTTCCCATATTTGCAGCTCCTTCTGGTCCCATGGAAGGACCAGGACCCATTGCAGGGCCAGGTAAAGTTCCTCTGTTGTTCATATTCATACCCATCATTGGAGGAGGGCCTTGGTTACCAGCAGGTGCTGGGCTAAACGCATCTATGCAAAACAATCTATACTTAGAGCTGTCCTATCTTAATTTTAAAAGAACAAACAAACAATTTACAATATTTAAAAAGCCAAATGTACAAGACTTCAAATACTTGGAAAAAAAATATTCTTTGAGACTGTACATTTACCTCAATCATCTGCTTTTAAACAGATTTTAAATAATCTCTCATTACATAATTTGCCTCATGTATTTGAAAATCCCAACCTTTACAGCTAAATATAGCTGTACAGTTTCTGTGCAGGAATCAATGCATTCATATTGCATCTCTCTGTGGAGTATGCACACCATAAATTAGCAAAAATCTCAAGTGATTTTACAGATATTGGCAGCTATATAGCAACTTGGCTCTTTAGGGATCTTAACAGATGAAATGTACATTTGCAAGAAGTCTTCTACCAGTAAGTAGTATGCTAATTGATATAGTGTACAGTAGATTAGTCTAAGGTCTAAAAGCAATAACAGAGATGGTATTCAGCTTCAAAATAAATTATTTGTAATACAGAATAAATAAAATCTTGCATTTAGTTGTAATTTCTTATGGTGTAAGTACCAGTAAGTGAAATAGTTTTGTTAGAACTTGAAATGACAGAACAATCTCCTCCAAAAGTCTGAATCAAAGAGGTAGAAGAAGACAATCTTGGAAATATATTCTGAGGGCATCATTTAGCTGTAATATTACACTAAGAAGCATCACTCTGACACTACTCGCTAATGTACTGAACACACAGGCAGAAATGCTTTTGTAGTATTTTCATATGTTGCTATAAGAAAGAAGTCTGATTATCTACCTCAGACCTTACTATTATGAAATATCAACTTCAAGGCTGATAGTGATGCATTCCTCCCATTCCCCACAATAGTCCATCCTTTTCAGCCCCCAGTATGCATCCAAAATTTGATAATGGAAGAAAGCATACCTTTGGAATTTAGTGTACACTTTAAGTATACACTTTCATAATATAAAGAAATCTGATATGTTGCTAGACTAATAAGCCTATCGTTTATAATTTAAAAATAAACCCTCTCACTTCTCACCACAACTGCACCTTCTTAGCAATGAATATATAAATATACATCATTTAAAGAAGGCCACTTTACACAGATACAGTACTGTGACTATGTGCAGGTATGCACAATTACACCTCTATTACTTGCCTTAAGAACACCATGTCACAGCAGCCAGTGAAACCATGGCATTCAAGACATTGCTGCTAAAATTGAAGACCTGGGTTTGATCATATACATTAGGTCAACCACAAACACCTTAGCAAAAACAATGCATGCTACACAGCAGCACATGAGAAATGCTGAAATAGTTTACAAGTTACAGAAATCCTGTAACTTCGAAATGCAGAAGTCTTTGAGCTTACTAATGAGTAATTAGCAATGAGACCTCTCCCTATAACAGTCAAAGCAAAGGTACACTCAGGTTGGATGCTTCATACCTATCCACACACATGATCAATTCAAGTAGCAAGTCTGGGTCACAATTCAAGAAAATTACAGTGCATATGCTCAAAAATGTTTTTTTACTGTCACTCATTCAGTTAGATATAGAACAAGTCTGAACTGCCAGTATAAGGAGAAACCTTTATTCTCAGAGGCTAGAGGCACTCTGCAGGAATATCATGATGGTAGCAGCACTCAGTACATGCAGCAGTACCACTAACTAAATGCTAAATTACTCACTATTGGTTGGTTTATCAGCCTAATCAAACTGAGCCAGGTGGCCACCCACAGGTACTGTCACTTAGCTGTCAACTTGCAAAAAGTTCTCATGCTCCATATCATACAAATGCACCCAGAGTGGCAGATAGCAACCTATACTATCAAACCGCAAGAATACTGATCCTGTTTCAGGCAGAGTCAGATCTGAAAGGAGCAAAACTACAGCATATGATGCAACAAGAGAGTGGGGTCCTGCATACTTTCAGTGAGAGGCCACTACAATACATTAGCTGTAACTCAGAGGTACTCCAAAATCCTCCAAAGCAGACCCTTAGAGCTTTCTTTTTGGTGGGACACTGATGTGAGGAGCTAATTTACAAGACCATGTTCAGTAACAGATGGAAAGCAGTCATTAGTGTTCATGCGACAATGTAGACACTAAAAAAAAAGTCCTTTTCTGTAAACTGAAGGGATGAAAAAGTTCATTTTAAGTGCCTGAAATGCATCAACAAGAAAGTTCATAATCTTCATCAATGCAGAGACTGCTCCCCAAAAAGCCCCTTTTTTCCATACTTAAGTTTATAATCTGCGCTTAGCACTACAGATCCAATTAAATACTCTGATGAGGTATAAATATTCTCTCTGAATTCATTTGTCACAGAAAGCTGTAAAAATGAGCAGTTCTATACAAGTCAGCCCAACACACTTACTAAATCTGTCACAGAAGTACTCTGCTTTCTAAGAAAATTATCATGCAGGTATTTCAGTTACTGGAGATATTCCAGCTCCCTCTGTTCCACATTATAAGAAGTTGCAAATGGCACAGGTAGAAGTCAGTTAAAAATAGTTACAATTCCAAGAGAAATATTAAGAAAGGATGCTACTGTCAACAACTAAAGATCTACTATTTAACGGTCTACTGTAATCAATGGAGTTAATATGCTGGAGAAAAACCAAAATGTCTATGAGTGAACTTAAAATCCAGCCTCTGCAGAAATAAATGCTAGACTTATTTGCTATGGATATTTCAAAATAGCAGTCCAATGTTACTGTAACATTTTTTTGGAATGATACAATTTATTTCTAAAATTATTAAGTTTAAAATCAAGTCTTAACATAAAACTTAGAAAGCAAGACCAACAAAATCACTGTTAAGAACTGCAGTAAATACACATTTTAAATCTACATGTAAAAAAGTGTATCTTGTGGATCTGGACAACTGGCACAGTATCAATATTTACCAAGTCTTCTAATTAAATGAAACTTTCAAGTATGATGCAATCATATGCAAAACTACAACTATAAAATAAAAATTACACCTCAATTTATGCTTCAGTTTAATATTTGTAGATAACTTCACAATGTTCTTCTTCACAATTTTTTTAAATCATTTTCATCATCCCTGAAAGCACAAGCTTATTTCTATTTTTCAGCTATGTGTCTCAAGAAATGCAAGGAAATCATGAATAATGTTTTAAAATCTGAAGCAGATTCATTACTCTATAAATTCACATTACTCAAAAGGTCAAGTGAAATGTTTACTACGTTTTGCACTTTTAATTTTAAAATATATGGAAAAACAGTTGTATTACTTTTCTTTTTAGATTTAGTGATTTTGAAGAATTATTTTAAGTTTCAGTCTTGTTTAAAAGCAGATATTCTGGGTAAGATTCCAAACTGTTTCAGTCTGCATATATGGAGCAAGCACTAATTATTATACTCTTCTAGATTACACATAGTAGTTTTTAGCAGTGGCAGTATTTTAAGTTGCAAGAGCTAACTGAGAATATTTGCAAATAAGAGACTTAGAGGAAATTGGTAGAACACCAAGCACATTATTCATTTATCACACCAAGTACATTAGGAAGAACTTGCCAATTTTAACCTCTACATCATTTCACTGTATGCAATTACAGTCACAATTTATTTGAATAGGTAGTCCCTTCAAAATTATGCCAAATATTTTTTGAACATATAATTCCTCTTTTGCATCAGATAACTCCCAGAGCATCACTTTTCACTGATTTTTGTTTCTCTTGACTTGCACATAATTTTTTTACCATGTATAGTCAAAGCAGTAAAATAAAGATACACTGGGGACAGGGGGGGAAAAGCTGCTTGAAAGCAAGATATAAGTTTTTTTATTTCCTAATATTGCTTACTCCTTTTTTACCAGTTGTCACTAATTCATAGTGCTTGAGTAATATGTACAGTCCCAAAGAACAAAAATTTACATTACAGAAGCCTTTTTCCTTCGGATCCCTACCTCCCATGTTTATTGCTCCACGAGGACCCATATCACCCATTCTCATTTCCTGTTCTCTCTGAAAGTAAACATAGTTTTCATGGTCAACCTATCATTTATAGAACTTAAAACATTCCCATTTACTCCATGAAAATAAAAATGTCAGTTTCAAAAGTTTTCATTAATTAAAAACAATGCAAGGAATGAAGTTAATTATACTCCTGATTTTTTATAATATCAAAGGATTGAATAAGTTCAATATAACAATGCTGTACATTTTTGCATATTAAAGATTAAATATGCTAAGTTTCATTTATCAGATGCAACAGTCTAAAGCTCCCAACTGCAAATGAATCCATCTTCTTGCAGTGTTTGTAATTAATAAATGTTTCTATTTTACCTGTAAATAAACAGGTCTTATTACAGTACTTGCCTAAAGGCCATGGTTCAGTAATACTCAATCTGATTTCAAGACTCAAAAATACTTGTGTTGATTGAAAACCAAGACCTAATGTATTACATTATGGTATATAAATTCAACCTGCCGATTAATCATTGCTCAAATAGCTTTGACTTAACTTTGGTGGTGGTATATTTTTTTAATGAATTATACTTTGCTATTGATGTTAGTTCAGATACTGACCATCCTTTTAAAATCAGCATAACACAGTAGTATCACCAGAAACTGTAACATTCATTTACACTAAACAGATAAATAACACATCAAATTGATCCAGACTCAATTATGCTCAGCCACCCAACAGCAAAAGATTTCTGACATTACTAAACATGAACCCCATCCTGCTATGAAACAATACTCAAAGGATAGTACCCAGAGTAGCAAAAAAATCATCACTTATGGGAAAACAAAGTACTCTATCGGAGACAATTCCAAGGGATTTTAGGATTACTGTTTACATCAAAAAGATTAAACAGAAACAAATCCACAGTTCAAAACAAAACTAATGAAATTTATAAAAAAAAATTCTCCTTTATTTTCTACAGGAATGTTAACAAGTACGCTGCTCTTGAGTAAACACATGCTGAGAATAAGAAAATTTTTAAAAATTTACC